GTTGTTTCCTTGACCGCCCCCCCTGCAGACTCGGCCATGCTGTTTGTGCAAGCTGCGCTGGCTGCCATCTTCTCGGCCCCGCTGACGCCCCTGCTGGGCAGCGCTGTCTTCCTCATGTCCTACGCGCGGCCCCTCAAGTTCTGGGAACGCGACTACAAGTGAGTTGGGGTCCCCAGCCCCCCTCCACCTCCCTCCCTGTTCCACAAATCCTGCACAGGTGGGTAGGCCCTCTGCTGCAGGTGTGGTCCCCTCTGAAAATGAGGACCCCCCCAAATTCCCTCCTCCCCAGAACTGGGCACCTCGTAGCAGTGAACTGGAGACCCCCCTTCTCCCCCCCAATAGCCAGGGCTGCATAAACACTCCCTGGGCTTGTCTCTCCCTCTGAGGTGCCGCAGCTGGGCTAGGCCTGTTCCCACCTCCCTGTGTGAGACCCCCCCCCCAGCAGCTCCTTCTGGCTGGGCTGGTGACTGGGGTGGGGGAAAAGAGGGCAGTGTTAACTCATCTCTCCTCTTCCCCCCCCTCAGCACAAAGAGGGTCGACCACTCCAATACCCGCCTGGCCACCCAGCTGGACCGTAACCCTGGTGAGTAGGGGCCCCCATCGAGCCACCAGTGTGGTGTCATTGGTTTGCTATCAGTGGTCTCCCATCCACAAAATGACCTTGCTGGACCCTGCTTAGCTTCCCAGGAGGCATCAGGGCCAGCCTGGGCCAAGCACCCCCCCCCATTTAACCCTTGCCTGGCTGCAGGGGCGGATGACAACAACCTGAATTCCATCTTCTACGAGCACCTGACGCGGTCGCTGCAGCAGACACTGTGCGGGGACCTGCTGCTGGGGCGGTGGGGCAACTACGTGGCCGGTGACTGCTTCATCCTAGCCTCTGACTACCTCAATGCCCTGGTGCACCTCATCGAGATTGGCAACGGGCTCGTCACCTTCCAGCTGCGTGGCCTCGAGTTCCGCGGTGAGTGCCTGGCGCCCCCCAGAGCCAGCTGCAACCCTGAATCCCCAGCGCCAGCGCCCCCCAGAGCCAGCCACATCCCTGTATCCCTGGTCCTGATGCCCACCAGAGCCGGCCGCATCCCCATCTCCCCAGCCCTGATGTCCTGCAGAGCCAACTGCATGTTCTGCTCAGCTGCTGACTCTTTCCACCCCAGAGCCAGCTACATTTCAGCCCTATATCCCAGCTTCCACACCCCACCCCAGAGCCAGCTGCATCTGTTCTACTTAGCTGCTGACACATCCCACCCCAGAGCCAGCCGCGTTTCAGCCCCATGTCCCCAGTGCCCAAGGCCCCACACCAGAGGCAGCTGCATCTCACTTCTGCTCAGTTGCCGACACCCCCCACCCCAGAGGCAGCTGCACCCCAGTGGCCAGCTTTGTACCCCCAGCTCCTGCCCCACCCCAGAGCCGGCTGCATCTGCTCTACTTGGCCACTGACGCATCCCGCCCCAGAGCCAGCTGCATTTCAGCGCCACATCCCCAGTGCCCAAAGCTTCCCCCCTGCCAAGGCAGCCACATCTCTGTTCCACTCAGCTGCCACCGCTACCCACCCCAGCATCGGCTGCGTCCCCGTCTCCCCAGCCCCGTGTGACGCCTACCTCTGCCCCTAGGCACATACTGCCAGCAGCGGGAGGTGGAGGCCATCACGGAGGGGGTGGAGGAGGACGAGGGCTGCTGCTGCTGCGAGCCAGGGCACCTGCCCCACGTGCTGTCCTTTAACGCGGCCTTCGGGCAGCGCTGGCTGGCCTGGGAGGTGGCCGCCACCAAGTACGTGCTGGAGGGCTACAGCATCAGCGACAACAACGCTGCCTCCATGCTGCAGGTCTATGACCTCCGCAAGGTCCTCATCACCTACTACGTCAAGGTCAGGGGGCGGGGTCTGGCCTGGGGGGAGGGGCTTGGAGCTCCTTGGGTGGAAGTGGAGAACCTAGGGCAGGGGTGGGCGATTATTTTGGGCAGAGGGCCGCTTCCTGAGTTTTGGCACGCCATCGAGGGCCGCATGACAGGCAGCCAGGGGCAGATAAATATTAATTTTCTACATTTTTTAGGGGCC